CCAGATGCAAAACCAGACTGTGTTACAACCCAACAAGGTAACGGGAAGATACCATTAAGGTTTATGTATGGAAAACAGGCTCTGGAGGTCGGAGGTCGATGTAACTGTCTCGGGATCATGTCCAACGGCGGGCTTGGATACTAGCAGGGCTCGGTTTTTTATTCCAGAGACTCGTTTGCATGCTTTAAGAGCTAATATCATGACGCAAGATCCTGTTCGCGTAATTAATGCGGGAATTATTCAGGTGGTATAAAGCGAGTGAACGTTCAGCACCGAGGGTAAAATTTAGCCAATGGAGCACGATATAAGGCTACTTATGTGTGTAATAGGCCTATATTCATTTTTAACAAAATCCCTGAAATTCCTAAGACTCAGAATTACTTGTAAACAACAGGATATATTAATCTGCCCGTTACATTTACGGGTGTAAAACTACCTTTTCATATATTTTTTTACTTTATGCTTACTGGATGGTCTAAAATATAATGCTCGGAAAAAAACAAAAATTTAGGTACAGCCGACATTATGCGTAATCTGTTCAATAAAGGGAATGTTAATGCAAGATTGGATTACAGTGCATTTTTCATGTTTATTAACGGTAAAATGAAAGGAATTAGAGTGTGACTATCGATATTTTACAGATTGAATCAGAATTTGGTCAGCAACGGATTTTATATTTCTGTTCCACATTATAGCAGGTAACCTAAAATATATTCGAGTTCTTTCTGCATGCTTTGCCGTATGATAGACTTTACCTCCATAAAGTTTAATGCTTTGAAGAATAATAAGAGAATAAATTATTAAATACGCTAAATCCTTTGAAACCCGAGAAGGAGACACAAGAATGTGAGTACGAAGAGTAGAAAGAATATTATGGGAAAGAAATGAAAAGAACATTTCCGCAGGGAGTACGAGCATCACTGTATTACAGATTCCCAGGCAATGCCCATTCGTCCTTGTGAAAAAATAAGTCAAAATGAAAACGTTAGGATGATAAGTAGGAACATGAGACAAAAGAGTGGAATTTTGATTTTCTTATCACGAATGGCGAAACTGTAATTTTGAGCAAGGCGTAATTTGGTGACATACGCAGGAAGGGGGAAAATTTTGATTAATTTAAATAGGGAGGCTTGCATGAGAATCTTCCAGTAGGGAATTGAACTTTGAAATCGTCTTAACATATTATTAAAGAGACAGGAAAATCTCCTAAAATTTACCACTAGACAGCGGTCCTTCAAACAGAAGAATATAGAAGCCCCTAAGGTTCCTCTAACGTGGATCGTAATATTATGCAAATAATATTTACAAATTCAGTTCCTATTTCCAATACAAAAATCCAATGGTTAATGTCCTTAGGGAAATAATCCCTCTTTATTTTGAAAATCGTGCTAAACCCACAAATATACTCTAAGGACAAAATGCATAGTTATTGAATATCAAAAGAAGGTGGTACATATAGTTACCACTGTGCTTTAAATTATTAATACAGACATGTATAGATATAAATGATACGGCGAGGTCCCTGTATTTGTAACGAAGTTTAGTGCAAGATTTGTAAACTTTATAAACGGACTTATTCATCTGCAAAGTAGTGACATATCACACCTGTAAGCATGTTTAATAGAATTAAGGCCTCTGAGAGGAGTTGGCTTACCGATCTGCTAACGCTACTAATGTTGGCCGCGTGGGGCAGCCCACAAATCCTGTAACAAAAGAAAGAAATCTGAATTGTAACAATTTTAACCTCGCAACACAATCTTTCAAATTCCCCGCCTCTATCACAAATGTAACTAAATTTTAGTGGATCTTTTTTTCCCCACACCTCATTTCATGACACCGCCAGTCTGTTTTAGGTATCCCGGAGGGTCAACAGTCCATCGACGGTGGCACTGACCACGCCTCTACCCTGGACCGACCGTGAACCTGAAGTGGCAAGGACGAATTATCGCCTGGGAACTGAAAACTGCAAAATGACAACTGCAATGTAATTCTAGTAGCCGTGATTTCTGTAATTGGAGAAGCAACTATCCAAGCTGTTCGTTTCCTATCAAAAAAGTCCGAATGTTGGTGAAACCTAGGATTTACCAGAAAAACCTAGATTTTAACAAACAGTGTTTGTAGAGATCCGAAAAAACAACAGTGAATTGTTAAACCCCGAAATAAGACGTGAATAGTTCTTTTTCTTTACCAACAATATTATAAAACCTAGGTTTGTATGGTAAATCCTAGGTTTTACCAACATTCGGGGTTTTTACGGTAACATATATTTTAAAAATACATTAATTTTTAATAAAACAATAGTACGGTTAGGGTCTACCTTTAGGGCTCGTAAATTAAAATTTATGACAACCCCCCCCCCCCCCCCCCCCCCTTAAACGATTAAATATTTTGATGTTTTATAAGGTTAACTCTGAAAAGTGGCTTCCAACCATCGACTTATACTGTACTGTATTTTCCCACTTACCCATCCATTGCTTTGCATGCGTAATCGTGAACTAAATATAGTGCAAAGAGAATACGACCTTGAGAAAGCAAAATCATGTAGCCAAACCTAACCTTGCACGGGCCGATATATAAATAAACCTGGGTTGCTATTCTGTAGCATCACGAGCAAAATTTAAAACCTCGGACAGAAGCACTAAGCCCGCCCACTAAACTCCTTCACAAAGAACGAACCACCTCAAAGTAAAACAAACGAGTTTTATTGCCAGCGCCAAGTGGAGCAACCTGGCGACTAACGGACCACACAGAAAACAACTGAAGTTGTGATGCGAAAGCAAAGGCGATAATAAAACAGTGTTCGGTGTGATTCCTGGACGAGAGCGGTCTCAGTGGGCGAAGTTGTTGGTATCAGCCTACTTGAGTTAACCAAACACAACCTACGAGGTGCGATCGAAAGGTTTCAAGACTGCGCGTATAATAACCCGTACACTTATCTCAGGTATTAAATTCATCCATCACCCTCGAAGTAGTTCCCCTGGGAGTGAACACAA